AGGGAGCTGCACTCCTGCTTCAGAGGGAAACAAATATAAAAGAATCTGATATGCCCAATGCTCTGATGCTTGGACTGTTTTGAGATAATGAACCAAAAGGGAAAAAATCTGTTCTTGAACACTCAACGGCCATAAAGCAGGTGTGATGCCAGTATAATTCCACCAAACAAACTAAGGCATATTGTGATATGATAGCAAGTTAATTAAAAGCTCTTTAAATACCACAAAACTGCACAAACGGAGACTACAGATTAGAATCTGTTTCTCTTGAGAACATAAAATACCTCTATTGAGACTAGCTGAAATTCCCTTGCCAGGATTATTAGTGCCTTTCTGTCACTTTTAGATTCGTTCTGCACGTGAATGTTATAATAGAAAAGTTCCAGCCCTGTGCTTGTCTCCTAAGGGCCTGATTCTGCTCCCATTAACTTCAGTGGGAGTACAATCAGACACGAAGACAGTTAATATTTTCCTAGTGGACTCTGATATACTGACCTGGATCCCTGAAGGTATTAGTGTGTTATTTAAATAATAGTCTGCATACCACAAATAAAAGTTACCATCCCAAAACAAGGGGATGGTAGAGGATCAGGAAAGCCTTTGGTGAAATGTTGGGTAGCTTGCTAAGGTGAAAGAACGTAGCAGGCTAGTGCAGTTCTTACTATTAATGAAAGATTGTTACAGTAATAGCGCTGTGCATGCCCACTATAGTGTCAACCATTTGTGAACAAGTATTCATTTTATCTCTTTATTCACTTTCTAAAATATTCATACATAGAAAAGAATCTGCCTTTCATTCTTTTTTTTTTTTCCTAAAATGACAGCCTGGCAAGCCTGATTTAGATACTGCAAATACATGTAACAGTCACCGTTTTTAAAACACATTAACAGCATAGGACTAGCTCCTCAGCTGGTGTAAGCTGGATTCAATGGAGCTTACAGCCACCAAGGATCAGGCCCACAGAGTCTTGTGATGTTTGTACTATAGACTGATTGGATTCAAAGGAAATGTCTAACAAGTTTGCTTGAGTTATTTAAGCATGTTGCTGAATTTACAGATAAGAGTGAGACAGTGCCTATAATTCATCTGCTAAGGGCAAATCACCATAAACTGTGGATTCAAGAACGCTTTACTACCTACAACAGTTCATTTTAATTACCACATCCCAAAACATGGTACACTGAATGTACTGTTCTGAGGACTGTAGTGGAGGGGAGGGGGGAAGGAAATCATTCAGGTGGAAAATGAGTAATTGCAGAGCTCCCACACAAAATCTCCCAAGATTTACTGGGCAAGTTCAAAGAGGTTTACCATAAATACACTGTGTACAATCAACTCAGGGGAGAGGCATCACTCCATACAGCACTGGATTGTGCTAAGGAGATGGAGACAGGTAAACACATTTCACTCCCTCTGTTCTTCTACCCTAAACCCAT